GACCATTCGTCCTAAATGGCATGCTGCAGGACCGCTTGGCACTTGGGCCGCCTGCCGTGTGGCCACAGTGGCCATACGCACCGGCAGGGCCATCTGGAAAGGCAAGCCGGGCGGCATGAGGCAGATGGCCGAATGCCGATCGCGGCATGTCGGCGCCCGATGAACGTTCGATTAATAGATGTCGGTGTACACATTATTTTTGACATCGCTGTACGCTTGACGACGAAATAACTACAATCACATTGATAATGTCTAAGGTGTGCTGCTATTTCTGCTACGACACGGAGTACTACACTAGCGCCACTCATCTTGCAACGATGTATCATAACACTATTAACTTCGGATGTTACCCCATTTACCTCACGGAGAAGCGAGAGACCCTCGGGCAGACCATATCGAGCCCGAGGGGCCGCCCAAAACTATTTCCCTAAATGGCGCGTGCTTGAGGCAATGGGCGGACTGGGGGTGCTGACCGTCATAGTTGACGGGCCGCACGTGCCCTCAGGGTGAGCCGGCGGTACCATCCGCTATTCTGATGGCGGATCACCTCCCGACGCATGTCATTGGTGACATGCCCGGAGTTGAAGCCGGCCTCAACCCTCGCCTTTGCGATCCCGCTGGAAGCCTTCACTCCCTGGGGCGGCGAGGATTGAAGTGATGTGAGCGGGGAACTGCGCCGAGGGAGTCAGAGGGATGCGAGCGGGGAACAGCAGTGAGGGAGTCAGAGGAACCAAGCAGCTGGGCGCATGCTTCCCAGGCATACCAAATGGGGTAACACCGAGGAAGCAGGCGACTGGATATCAATTCGCTGATCCCTGCATGGGGCCCAAGCCATCCAAATCGGGTCACACGCTTCCGTTCTGTCCTCTACCGTCCTCTTCGACGTCCTCTAGAGCTCGTTCAACGCCATGGCCCTCCCTCTTCCTCCTCGTGATCCTCATCGCATTAACGCCCATGCTCCCACCTGATCCTGGGCAACCATCTAATTCCTCCCGCCGTGTCTCTCCACCTACTGCCGCCTCCTTTTCTCTTGCTCCCATGCCCAATCTACCCTGACTCTCTCGCCCTTTCCGAACTCCCTTAGACCATCTCCAAGAGGCTTTGCAACGCCGCGCACGACACCCAATCTCACCATCGCTGCCCAGGCCAGAGGTCCCACAGACCGTGATCAAGCAGGAGGAAGTGCCGACGCGTTTAGAGGACATTGGAGAACCGGGATACATCATTCAGGTGAGTATCCAATGTCATACAGCGGCACACCGCGCTCCATGCGTCTCATACTAATCAAACCCCACCTCAGATGCGACAGCGCGTGAAGACCAGCACGCCGCCTGGAGCGCGGTCGTTGCACGAAGACGCAGATGAGGAGGCCACACCGCGTGAACAACGCTCTCGCGAGGCACGAGACACGGACACTGCCCCAACCACCCCGACTCGCCTGCGCACAGTAATCAAACCGACTGGTAAAAGCACCAGCATCAGCCACAGGGCCCAGGCACGCCGCGCGCAGCTCATGCCGCCCCCAAACCCCGAGCGCAAGGGCGATGCGATGGCTGCCGCTCCCGAAACCACCGGCCTCCATTCTATGGAGTTGCGGAACACTACGCCCCAAGTGCAAGAGGAGCGCGCCCCTGCCGCAACCATCCGCGGTGAGCAAGAGGATCCCTCTTCCGCCCCAACGTCCTCCGAGCCTCCCGCCCAACCCGGAGGGTCCATCGCGCATGCAGGAGGCTCCCAGCCCATGCACTATGCGCCAGCACCACGCACACTACGTGAAGACATGCTGCTGTACCCATACCACGCAGCACCCTTTGCCCCCACGCATTACGGTGCTGCCGGACTCGACCTCCACAACCTGAACATGTACTACCACCCGTCTCCGTACCAGAACCTGGCAGCGCCGCTGCGCTCGCGAGCCCCATCCAGCGTCTCACGTGCAGACCTCGCAGGACCCTCCACAGAGCCCCTTGCACCTCCCTCCAAAGTGGCATCAACATCCTCGCGAGTCGCACCTACAGCCCCGCGCTCGCGAGCGTCCTCCAACGCGTCGCATATCCATCCCACCGATCCCGCTGACCCTCTGCGCTACAAAAGCGCCTTAGCCCCCCCCGGTCCAAGCGACATGCCGGGCTGGACCGTCCTCCAGGTGGCGGATCCCCAGCCCCTACTTCCACAACGGCAAGCCCTTCCTCGCAGACCCTTAACACCCCCTCCTAGCGACAGCCAGCCCTCCAAGAGGGCCCTCGAGCCCACGCCCAAGGCGACGAGTACGCAGGAGGACCCATCCACGGATGTGCCTAGCGCGCAGCAAGCGGGCACCGCGGACAATGCAGCGGCAAGTGCTGCCGGTTCCCCTATGGATGAGTCTGGCGACAAGGCGGTGCATGACACCG